TAAAAAAGGATTCATGACACACTAAAGAGACGAGTTTACCTTCTTCACGAAACTTTTGATACCGAGGGCAATCTTTCTTAACATGTCCCCATTTCTTGTAGAAGAAACATTTACTATTATTGTCATTTTGCTTTATAGGCATATGTTCATGTTTCTTCACTTTTAAAATATTTTTATCCTTCTTGAAATTTCCCTTAGCTTGAGAAACCAAATTAGCACTTTCGGGTTTCTCAAGTTTCAATCTCCCTTCTTTTTAAACACACAAGGTTAATAATACATTAATTGATCATTTTTTTTTATGTGTGTTATAAGAAATCTTAAACGGACCATATTCTGCAGGGAGAGAGTTCAAAATGAAACGCACTAAGAATGACTCAAAAATCTCTATATCTAAGGACTTTAATTGAGCGAGCAGTGTCCCTCATTTCCATAATGTGCTCGCGCACACCTTTAGAATAGTCAAATGACTTGTCGAAAGCTTTTTCATTAAGGTGTCGGCTAATGCCTTATTAGAATGAACAAATTGTTCCTCTATGGCCTTCAAAAAATCTTTTGCCTTAGATCATTCAAAGATTGAACCCCTAATACTTTTATTTATATGAGACTTTATGAGCATTAAACTTAAGCGATTAGATTGCTTTCACCGCTCATAATTAGTTTTTTCCTGTGCATCACTTGAATCCGTGCGGATGGGGGGTTCATCCACACGTAGGGCCAAATCCAAATTCACACACCCCAATGCAAAGAGAATATTTTCTTTCCAATCACCAAAATTATCATCACATAGCATTGGAATACTAGATGTATAAATAAAAGTAGTAGGAAAAAGCTGCAATAACCAAGAAAAGACTTTAATACTATGAAAAAAACACTTTATTTAAATTAACCAATGTCAATTTAAGAGTAAATTCTAACCTTCCTGTGGGTAAAGGTTGCATCATGCATAGAATTCACTAATTCTTTAATAATAAGACTAATAAATAAAATATCAAGAATAAAAAATATTCACACATAAGGGCCTAGAATAAAATTCATTCTTAATATCAATTTATTATCTTATTCCAATTAAATCATAAAAATAACAACATCCCCGTAGGGCCAAGTCATTATTTTTATAAAATAATTACAAATTAAGGTATGTATTTTATGAACATATTAATTTAATAAACTTTAATGTGATCATCAAAATAACTTAAAATGCTCGTGGTTATTTTTAAGTCAATTTACATCACCATCTCAACATAACATGCTTTAATATCAACTCATAACTTTACGTTGACATTTCAAAATAATAATATAAATCATTTCATTATTTATTTATTATTTTATTTAGCAATTTTTCTGCATATAATTTATGCTAACAAAGCCTATAATATATGCCTAAAAATAAAAATAAAAATTGTTTACAAACAAACAATTGAGTCTATGCAAAATATATACTGTACATGCATAATTATTCCGAAGTTGACAAATATGCATCATATAGATTTCTTTGAGATAATAACCCACCTTGACATCTTTCAGTTTTTATGTTCTAAGAAAGTAATAGGAAGTTGCATGAAAATAGCTAAATCTTGGAAAGAGTCCAAGTTGAATTGTAAGCTTCTTGGCAATCTTTAATTCATGTCTTATATTTATATATACACGCTGGAAGGGTGAGGGAAGGAAAAAACCGTTTGAAATCAAATGTATATGTATACGCCAGAAGGGTGAGGAAAAGAAAAGCCATTTGAAATCAAATGGAAGTACAATATATATAAACTAGGCATAAATTCGCGTGATTGAAAGAAAATTTTTGCATGAAATTAAAATGGGAGCACGTGTACTGTGAAAGTACACAAGGATATGATTTTTTTTTTTAAAAAAAATTTATTCTTTGTGCTGTTGTGCATCTACATCTGTATACTATATATATATATATATATACCTTTTGATTTAAAGATTTCAATTAAATAACCATACCATAATATATGATTTTTCTATAAAAATCATATTATATCCTCAATAAATATAATTAATGAATTTCTATTAACATGAATCAATATAGCAAGCAGGAGGCTCGATACCATATGTTAGAAAAATTAAATATATCTAAGCATATAAGCGCGAGTGAAAATTAATAGGATACATACGTTCTACCATAATTGATTAAGTGCTCAAGATATTATTGAAAGAAAACCGTAGCCGTCAAAGAGAGAGAGAGCCTTCTAGTCTATGCCAATACTTTAGGGTTTTATATGCTGATGGAAAACACAAGCTTTACTTACTATTTACATGGCTAGACCGGAGACTCTTTCTTTAACCTAATTTTGCACCTCCATCCATCATGGATGTGTCTAGTCCACTACTAAAGTCCATTGAGCTCTAAGTTTTTAAATTGTTACTTATAAATTTAAAACAAACATGACATATGGGCCGTACTATAGAATATTTCTTACATAAACGCTATAAAACTCTCTTGAACTTTTAATTTATTTAAAAATTAATTTTTCAACTTTTAATTTTAGATTTGACTTTTTTAAAACTATTTTTTGATTCAAAATTATACCATTTTATTATGTTTTTGTCAATTCTAACATGCAAGTATAGTTTTTCGAGAGCTAAAAATATGTCGAAACTTATGGATATCTTGTTTTCCTTCAAAAACTTTTTTTTCCCTCTTAATGCTAAAAACTTAGCAATTAAAAAATATTTTGGAAAAAGAAAAAACAAGTTTTGGAGGGGAAAAAAAATAGAACATCCATACTTTTAACTATCGAGAAAATTAAAAGGTTAATACTGTAAAAATCACATATATTTAAAATGTTAGATTGACTAAAACTTAAGAAAATGATCTAATTTCAAATAAAAAATAATTAGAAAGATATCTAATTCAAAATTAGACGTTCAGAGACTGATTCATAAACGATTTAAAATTCGAAAGAGATTTGAACTATTTAAAGGATAAAATTGAACTATTTAACCAAAGCTAAATAAACGATAAAATGTGATTTCCATAGCACAATTTTTTACAGTAGCAACTTTTCCGTTTATTTTGTTCGTTTCAATTATATGACTTCCAAACACATGGAAGAAAATCATCCTCTCTTATAATATTTTCATTCCTCCCTCTTTATTATTTTATTTTCCCACACTTAATGGTAAGGAGATAATAAAATATGGAAGAAACATACTTTTGTTTTTGAAATTCACCAACATTTAAATGCATATGGCATATGTTAGTCAAACATGAGCATCGGTATTTCAAAAGAGTATAGGATAATTATATTATAAATATATCAATTTTTAACGTTTTTAATAAAAAGTATATGAACTTTAATTTTTTTAATTAAAATATATTAATTTTTTTAAAATAACCAATTAAGTATCTCTCTTAAACTTTTGTTAATTGTTTTGTCATCTGATGACTTGTCTTTTGTTTCAAACTACTAAGTTATGATTTTTTGTTTTTTGGAAAAATTTTTTTCTTTTAAATATTTTGCTATATTCTACATTTTGGTTATAAATTTTAATTATTTAGTTCTTTTTGTCCATTTTATACTTTTCTCTAATTTTTTTGTTTATTTATTTTGAAAAATAGTAAAAGAAAAAAAAGATACTATGGAAAGATTGATGAGAATTTTTTTAAAATAAAATAATATTAAATTAAATATAATTAATACTGATTAATAAAATAAATAATTAATTTTTGAAACGTAAATAACTAATTAATTCATTTCTAAAAACTAGAAATTCTAATTTATAATTTACCAAAAAAATGAGTTAAGCAACGTAAACCAGGTTTTGTTTTTCATAAAATGAGCCTATCTTAAAAATGAACCCAATTTACAAAAAACCCTAAGCCCATGTCCAAGCCCAAAGTAGACAAGTTGGGTCTTCCTAATTGACCATGAACATTCAGCACCCTATAAATAATGCCATAATTTAAAGACTCTTTCAGATATTAAATACGTGCATGCCAACTGCCAAGAAGAGCAATCACCACTAGTCCATGCGGAAGCGAAACAGTTGGGGTTTCTGTTGGTTTTGTTAAGTACTTAAAAAGAGTGTGCATTTGTTTTCTGAATCTCTTGCCTGATCAAAGTGTTAAACTGCCTTCACTCAGTTTGAGGTTTGAAAAAAAAGAAAGACTCTCTTTTGCTTTCTGGTAACATTTCAAGACTCCTGACTTCTTTGTTTCATCAGTCTTGTTTTGCTTTCGTGGGTCATTTTCATTTTTTCTATCAATCCCTTCTGTTTCTGTATTTGTATCTGATTGATCATCAGAGGAATTTCTGTCACATTCTTTCTTCTCTCTTTTCACTACTTTCTTCCGTGCCAAATTGTAGAGAATAAGTTAACATGCATACATGATCTCTCCTTGCATGCGTGCTTACCTTTGCATATATGCTTGGGTACATGTACACTTTTTTACGTTTTAATCTTTCTTTTCCTCTTTTATTTCTTTGAGTGCAAAGGTATGATTCTAAATATGTGTTATTCTGATGATGATAGCCACCCCCATTTTTTTTTCACTCCAATAAAAAAATCTTGCCTCTTTTGATTTTATTTTCATTAGTTTTATAAAGCTCAATTCCCTGTTTTTGAAGATATTTTGTTTATTTTTTTTTCAGATTTTTCTTTATAAAGGACTTGTTGTTCTAAACTTCTAATCAATTTGCCTGTTTCTGCATCAAGAACTGACTGACCGATCGCAGACATTAGTTTGTGGCCTCAGGCTATTGTAACTTGTACGGATCTTGATCGGTGAGTTTTAAAGCAATTTACACACCAAATGTAATCCTAAGTTGTATCTTATGAAACTGAGTTTTGATAGAATTAATTGCGAGAATCGTCTTTATTGTTGGTGTAAATTTAGTGTCAGCACTGACTTTTATTCTGGTTCCAGAAGTATTTATGGCTCTTATCATGCTGTTACATTTTTTCAGTCACGTTTGGGATTGAATCTGAGACCTACTTAAGTTTCTATGGGGCTTTGGTGTCTGTTCACTGTTGCCCTGATGCCAGTTTTGAAGGTGCTCCTGGTTACAGCCGTCGGCGTGATTCTGGCAATTGAGCGAATGGATATTATGGGGATGCATGCGCGAAAGCATTTGAATAATGTAAATGCCAATATGTTTGCTTATGGATTTTGAACAATATTGCTATAATTTTGGAAATAAGGAAATGCAAGTCCTGAGAATGATAAACCAAGTAATCAAAATCAAAAAACGTAGTCTGAAGGATCATTTAGATGTTTGCCAAAGTATACTAGCAATTTTTCAGGCCATGACAGATTTTCATAATGAACAGTTGATTATTTGGTATGATGGTCTAATAATTCAATTCTTGTGCAGCTGGTGTTTTATGTCTTGAATCCAGCACTTGTTGGCAGCAACTTGGGGAAATTCGTGACATTAAAAAGGATAGTTCAGCTGTGAGTTTCTCTAACCAAAATTTCCTGGCTGTTTGCTAAAAATGTGCTATTCTTTTTCCTGCTAGTTAATTGAATTCAACTTCGGTTGAATTATTATGTAGGTGGTTCATGCCAGTCAGTATCCTTATCCTCTTTACCGCTGGCTCAGCGCTTGGATGGTTACTTATAAAAATTACGAAAGCTCCTAAGCGTCTGCGAGGCCTCATCTTGGGATGTTGTGCTGCAGGTTGGTTTTATTATTTCTAGTTGATGGAAGGTTTATCTACAGCTTTTTGAGTGTCCTTTCTGGTTTATATCTTTGAGCAAAATCTTTGTTGATTCACTGATTTCTTCAGGAAACAACAGAGCAGCAGGTCTGAACAATTTAATTCACTAGCTAGGTTCTTGTGATGTGCCTTTTTTCTGATTGTGATTTTAACTAAAGGTTCTTAAAATTTGTAGTTGCTTTATAAGGTTTCTTGTCAGATTTTATGTAACCATATCAAGGACGCCTCTACTTTGTTAACTAACAGATCATCCTTCCCACTCAAAGAGACAAGTTTTTGCGTTTTGGCTGCTGAGTCCTCTCCTTCTGTCATTCCTTTCCTGCCTTCCAACCCATGTAGACCAACCACCTCAGGAAATCTGCTTTGGACATTCCCTTTCTCTGGTTACTATATGCTGCCATGAATCACTTTGGACATTCTAATATAATTATATATCCCTATCCCACATTAATATCTGCTGTTTCAGCTATTTAGGGCCTTCTTGACAATAGTATCGTGTTCTGTTCCGGCAGCATTACATTTTGATTTTTTATGCTTGATTTCTAGCTCATGAAGGATGGTTGAATGTGAACAGGGAATCTGGGCAACATGCCTCTCATAATCGTTCCAGCTGTCTGTAAAGAGAAAGGCAATCCATTTGGAGACGAAAACTTTTGTAATGTGAATGGATTGGCATATGTTACGCTCTCTCTGGCAGTATGACATTGTTCCTTGCTTGAATTCAATTGTTTGTGCGAATCTAAGAAATGCAGTATAATAGGTCTAGAATCTGCTTAAACTTTCCGATTTTTCTTTGATATTTTAGATTGCATCCATCCTCATGTGGTCATATGTGTACAATGTTGTTCGTATATATTCAAGTATGGATTCTGATGAAGCCACACAGGATGCCTTACTAGAGGGTATAGAGCCTGCTCTAGAAACACCAGAAAATCGTTCAAGTAGTCGAACAGTGTCTCTGCTTCCCTTAAAAGAGCCCTCACTCAATGAGGGCATGAAGAACTTTGAGCTCGATCGTGCAGTGTTGTCAGAGGGAAAGCCAAAGGTTGCTTGAAATTCCAACATTATACTTTCGTTTCTTTCTGAACTCTCTTGATCATTTCCATATATTGTTTCATGTTCATTATGATCAAATTTTGAATTGTCACATCATACTATTGGTAGATTTCTTTTTCACCTTTTGTTCCCTTGAATAAAATGTTTTTGAGAGCAATCGTCATCCTACTTTATCAAAGTTTCTTGACAGGTGCCATTTCCAGAAAACATTAAGCAAGGCTTTCAAAAGGTTCTAAAGAAACTCAACCTGAAGAGAGTGTTTTCACCTTCAATTAATGGAGCGGTATGCTAACGGCAAGCTCTTACTTTGACAAGTTCTTATAATGCATATTGTTTATTTAAGGAAATATATAAGCATCTACAACTCTTTTGAACTCTATTGAAATTTAAAGACCTTTTATGGAGACATTTCCATTGAGCAAGCATTAGCGCTTGCTTGCAGATTTAAGCCCAATTTTTTTTCACTCCAGTTTCTTGGTCACGTAAAAATATCTGACATTGTATAGACTAAACAGGCCACTTTATGTTTCAGTGTTGATGCGAGGATTGACCCCTCTTCCTGCTTTACTTTTATAGATTGTTGGATTTATAATCGGTACTATCCCTCCATTCCGAAAAGTGCTAATTGGTGATAATGCTCCTCTTCATGTGATTGAAGACTCTGCATTCTTGCTTGGGTCAGTCAGCTTCCCTCTTTGATGATTCCTGATAAACCAAAAATCTCACTTTCATTTTTCGGCTACCTAACATGTTCCCGTAAATTCCTTCCTGTTGTGTGTTTGCAGGGAGTCAGCTGTCACAATTGCCACTTTGATTGTGGGAGCAAATCTTCTGAAGGGTAATTGCGATCATTTTCATTTTTGTCATGCTTAATTCAATTTTTCGAAGAATAGAGACAATGATGACCAGAACGTGTTCTCAGGTTTCAAGGGGTCGAAGCTGCCGATCTTAGTGATTATCGGTATATCAGCAGTCCGGTATATTTTTTTGCCGATATTGGGAGTACTTGTCATTAAATATGCAGTCCATTTTGGGTTGGTGGACGCAGACCCACTTTACAAGTTTGTTCTGCTGCTTCAATTTGCACTGCCTCCAGCAATCAACATAGGTCTGTCAACTATTATTGGTTTGAAGATGCATGCAAAGTTCAACCATGTCCTCATCTGGAAACAAGTTAATTTTTCCCTTGTCTTTTGGCCTTGATTTGGCAGGTACAATGACCCAGTTGTTTGGAGCTGGCGAAACCGAATGCTCGGTGATCATGCTGTGGACCTATTCCTTGGCCACAGTTGCGGTAACGCTTTGGTCTGCATTCTTTATGTGGTTCGTCAGATAACTCTCACTTGCCTCTAGCTAGGATCACTTCAACATACACAATCTGTGATATTTCTTTAGTTTTGGCCAATACAAAGAAATTACGAAATGCACAAGCAAAAGGGTACTCTGTTAAACATACGTACTGTTATGTCCATGTTAGCTGAGATACTTTACTAGTTATAGCAAATACAGATGGAATGATGAACACTTGAAAGGGTATATTTATATACAAAAATATTATGTGCGCTGCAACTTTCTATTTGCTCAGCTCATGAGATATATTCTAGTCGCTCGGGATATGTTAAACGTACGTACGTATTTCTTTAGTTTTGGCCAATACAAAGAAATTATGAAATGTACAAGCAGAAGGGTACTATGTTAAACGTACGTACTGTTATGTGTTAGTAGAGATATTTTATTAGTTATAGCAAATACAGATGTAATGATGTATACAAAAATACTATGTGCCCAACAATTTAAAGTTATATTGTTTCGATGAAATGTACTAGGCCTTTCTTTCTGCTCAGCTCACCCAGCGGCAACACTATTCTTTGTGCTCACGGGATATATCCTATTCGAATGGTAGGAATTTTTGAACAACTTGCTGTAAAATAATTCCGTATGTCCTCGAATTACTCAAACTGGTGCCAAAGAATATGCTCACAACATTACAACAGAGGATTAACTCTTTACAACTCCAAACAACTGGGTAATAGTACCTGCTAAATGAAGAACGTATCAAACACAGACATTATAGAGAATTTTGGCAATACAAACATAACTAAGGTGGTACTTTGAACATCTGTGCATAATATTCAAGATGGTGTATCTATATCCGAGAGTTTTGGCATACGTATACTTACATAAGTGCAGACATCTACATAGTTAGGTCTAAACTTACATGTTATTTTATTTGTAATTTAGACTTGTTTCATTATTGAATTCATCTATTATGAGTATTGGAATTATTGAGGATTGAAGTTAGGTTTGTTTTAGCTATTTTTGATTAAGTGAGTGTAAATTTTGGCAATATTGAAATTAGAGTTAGGGTAATCGGATTGATCTGAAATTTAGATCATAACTTCTTCGTACCTTAAGTAGAAGTTAAATTTCAGAATTATCTCACAAGCATAGCTAGGTTTGTTTAGCTCTTTTTGATTAATTGTGTGTAAATTTCAACAATATTGAAATTAGAGCTAAGATTACTAGATTGATATGAATTTTAGATCATAACTTCTTCTATATCTTAAATAGAAGTTAAAACTTCAAAATTATCTCGATAAGTATAGCTAGGGTTTCGACTCGTTACAATATTTTAGAATTTGCAAGATTGTGTGATTTGGTTTTGTAGATTTGTTGGTTTGGACTTGGTTTGTGAGGATTTGTGAGTGTTCGGAAGTTGTTTCTTGTCGAATTAGTACTTGTTAATTTTGACTTGGTAGTTGTAGAGGTTGTGTGCATTAGGTTGATATCATCTTTACATACCCCGTGTCACTCTCTTTCGTAAAAAATAGGTGTAACAACTTCAAACACACCAACACACATATATTTTGTGAAGAAGAGACTTACCAAGTAAATAGAGAAACGAAGAGAGGTAGATGTGAAATATAGTAAGAGAGGAGACTTACCAAGTAACCGAACAAGATGTTTATGGCAGAGACAGTTAATGATAGTAAGTTCAGACAAAAAATCATTTTGACTTTTGATGTTGTCTCTAGAGAATTTCTTGATGGCAATTTGAATGTTTTCTTTCAGCAGCACACCTTTATAGACCACACCAAAACCACCTTGACCAAGCTTATACTTCTTATTGAAATTATTGATGGCCTTCTTTAGATCTTGGAATGAGAACTCCCTCGGCATTCCAGGAAAGCTCTTAAGGGCACCTAACAGATTAGGATTTGATGCTGCCTTCTTCTTGTGAAGATAGTAAACCAAACTTCCTACCCTAATAAAGAGCAATGAAAATAGAGCAACCCCAGTTCCTATTCAGATCATACTAACTATCAATTGCTAAATTAAGAACATATCAAACATAGACATTATAGAGAATTTTTGCAATACAAACATAACTAAGGTGGTACTTTGATCATCTGCACATAATACTCAAGATGGTGTATCTATATCTAAGAGTTATGGCATACATATACTTGCCTAAGTGCGGACATCTACATAGTTAGGTCTAAACTTACATGTTATTTTATTTGTAATTTAGACTTGTTTCATTATTGAATTCATCTATTATGAGTATTGGAATTATTGAGGATTGAAGTTAGGTTTGTTTTAGCTATTTTTAATTAAGTGAGTGTAAATTTTGGCAATATTGAAATTTGAGTTAGGGTTATCGATTGATCTGAATTTTAGATCATAACTTCTTATATACCTCAAGTAGAAGTTAAAATTTCATAATTATCTCACAAATATAGCTAGGTTTGTTTAGCTCTTTTTGATTAATTATTTGTAAATTTCAACAATATTGAAATTAGAGCTAAGATTATCGATTGATATGAATTTTAGACCATAACTTCTTTTATATCTTAAATAGAAGTTAAAATTTCAAAATTATTTGATAAGTATAGCTAGGGTTTCGACTCGTTACAATATTTTAGAATTTGCAAGATTGTGTGATTTAGTTGTGTAGATTTGTTGGTTTGGATTTGGTTTGTGGGTTGATTTGTGAGTGTTCGAGAGTTGTTTCTTGTCGAATTAGTACTTGTTAATTTTGACTTGGTAGTTGTAGAGGTCATGTGCATTAGGTTGATATCATCTTAACATACCCCGTGTCACTCTCCTTCATACAAAATAGGTCTAAAAACTTTAAACACACCAACACATATATATTTTCAAAGAGCCATCTCTCTCTCTCTCTCTCTCTAAATCTACAAAGTATATGCAAAATACTAGCCATTGAAATGGCTATACTAGAACACCACCCGACACCACTAACAAAAATACTTGTGCTCCATGCTTGCAAGATTTCGCAGGACACCGTGCACCATCATTTTTTTAACCCTTTCGAGGAAGTTTAACAAGTACAATCTATCTATTTGTCAAAATCTCACTTCATCAGTAGCACCGTATGTGAAAAACTAATTTCTAATTTATATTTCTCAACCTTTACCATCAACAATGGTGTCTTCCTCGCTCTACCTTGTCGACTCTTACGTCTCCACATAAAAATTCAGATATAGTTTTACAATATATGCTTCACCTAAGTATCCATAACTCAAAAGAGGCGATATCTTTATTAATTCAAAAAGCATATCACCATAAAAACAACACATATATTTGCAATAATCATCATTTCCTAGTAGAAAGGATGAACAATTTATTTATTTATGTTGCCTTTTCATCTATACCATACTCATTTGCTCTATCGATAATGTTAATTTGTATTATATGATATACATGCCTTCATTCATCCAAACACATTTTCATAAAAGATATCCATTATTAGTTTTACTAATATTTTATTATTATGATGGAAAATGCATCAAAAAAATAGATAAAAATAAGTAAGATCATCATGTGGTCATTCTTTTTTTTACAATACACCTATAATATTGACACCCACTTGTTATATATTTTATTATTTTTTTATAAGTATTAACTAACTATGCAGATTAAATGACATTCCTAGCAACATTTATTGCTCATTGCCCAATACAACCTTCGCTATGAAAATAACTTGGCTAGTCAACGTACAAGCCAACACGTTTCGCTAAAGCTAGTCCACCAATGACCATCTAGCCAAAGTCAAAACACAACTGTATGACGAAAAACTTTCCAAGGAATTTTCACTGCAACTACAGAAGTGTATGAAGGCTTAACAGTTGGGAGAAGGAATACGCATATTTAAATATTTCAAGAATTCTCAAAAGCTAAAATCCTACTTGTGTTGGTAGGCAATTGAGCAGTCCCACCACCATGTTTGGTCAAGATATCAACTACTCCATATAAGAAAATTTACTTGGATGATCCAAAAATTTTGGGTACAAAAAACCAGATATTATCTCTAAATTTTGCTGAAGGATGATAAAAATTAGCGTATGTCAAGTGAAAAATACACAATTTGAAGGATAAAAGATGCCATTGTTTCTCTTTGGGTGGTGTGCCACTAGTTTTCTACGAGAAAATGGTCCATATACACGTCATGCAATTATTATATGATAGTATTAGATTAGCTATTTGCCCACGCTACGTTACGAGTCTAATTGAACAAAATCATTTTAAAATTTAAAAAAATTTTAATTATAATTTTCATATTTAATTAATTTTTTTTAATATTTTTTTTATAAATTTTCTTCTTAAAAAAACATAAATCGTTCTTCTTTATAGATTGATTTTAACTAAAATATTAATCAAGAATTAAAAAACTTTAAAAATATATTTTTCATAATATTGTATTAAAAAATAAAGTTATAATTAATAAATAGACTTTTATAAAACCTAACAAATGGAAAAAAATTCTTATTTAATGCTGATGAGAAGATTAATTTTTGAAATTATCCATACAACACAACAGCTTAGATAGAACAAAATCATTTCAAAATTTTATAATTTTTTTATTAATTTTTATTTAATTATTAATTTTTTCATATAATTTCTTCTTAAAAAATGATTTATTTTTCTTTATTTAGGGATTCCTAAATAAAAAATTGTAATATATAATTTAAACCTAAAATATTAATTAAAAATTTAAAAATATATATTTTTTATAAGAATATATTAAAAAAAAGTTACAATTAATATATAAACTTGTATAAAAATTAACCAATAAAAAAATAAAAATTTATTCTTATTTAATGTTTATGAAAAGATTATTTTTTAAAAGGACAAATATTTGATCTATACATAATATATAATCGTCAGTTTGTGTGAAAAAGAAATAATAATTGATTTTTAAAAATTTTACCACCCAATTAAATGAAAAAAGAACATAAATTGATGGGAAAAACCAAAGAAAAAAAAGAAAAGAAAAGGCATGTAGTGCATCAGCTAAGGTTTACAATTTTTATTGAGTGGTTAAGCCAAAACTATAGTAGTTTTAATTATTTAATTTAAATAAGTTCATTTTAAAATATTCTAAATAAATAAATAAATAGTAAATGCTTAATGTAGTAGTTGTATAGTTAATTTGTAAAAAAAAAAAAAAAACAATTCAATATTTTATACTAAGCGAGTTTAGAGTTTTCAATCTAAAACAAAAAATACTATAAAAAAAAGTTAACTTGCAAAGAATCTATTGACTAAATTTGAAGTTAATAGACTAAAATAAAAATTATTACAAATTTTATTTTGATTAATTTTGACTATATAAAGAAGAAACAAATTAATAAAACATGTGAATTCTTTTTCTTTTTTTTTTCCTCCTTCTTAAATAATTTTTTATTTCTATCCTATGCATGGCTAGCCCTTGAATACAAGTCTCAAGAGCAACCATCTTCTTTTTATTTTTCACATTTGACTTTCAACTATTAATTAACTAATTTAATTTTTTTATAAAAAAATCAAGAAAAAATTATTTGAAATATACTTCTAATCTAAAAATATATTTTAGACAAATTATATATATTAATCATGTCACTATAATTTAAAAATTATCTAAATCTATTTTTCAAAAGAAAAAATAATCATGTTCTAAAAATTTATTCCAAAATCCATACATATAGAAAAATAAATCAAAATTATCAGTAAATATAATTTTAAATTAACCGGGTGAGAATTTTTTAAAAAATAATAAATTAAATTAGTAAATTTTAAATAATAAAAATAATGAAAAAATATTAAAAAAAATGAGATCAAATCAAAATATAATTAAAATTTAAAATTAAAAAATATATATAGAAAAATTGAGGACCATAAAATTTTAAATTAATCGGATGAGAATTTAAAAAAAAATGACAAATTAAAGTAGTAAATTTTAAATAATAACAATAATTAACAAAAAAATACTAAAACAAAATGAGACCGAATCATAACATAATTAAAGTTTGAAATTAAAAAAAAAACAAATATAGAAAACTTGAGGACTAAAAATATATTTCGGACAAATTATATGTATTAATCATGCCATTATAATTTAAGAATTATTTAAATCTATTTTTCAAAAGAAAAAATAATCATGTTCTAAAAATTTATTCCAAAATCCATATGTATAAAAAAATAAATCAAAACTCTCAGTAACTATAATTTTAAATTAATTAGATGAGAATTTTAAAAAATAACAAATTAAAGTAGTAAATTTTAAATAATAAAAATAATTAACAAAAAAGTTAAAATAAAATTGGACCAAATCACAATACAATTAACGTTTGAAATTAGAAAAAAAAATATAGAAAAATTGAGGAGCATATAATTTTAAATTAATTGGATGAAAATTTAAAAAAAAATGACAAAGTAAAGTAGTAAATTTTAAATAATAAAAATAATTAACAAAAAACACTAAAACAAAATTGGACCAAATCACAATATAAGACCAAATCACAACATAATTAAAGTTTGAAATTGAAACAAAAAGAAGAGAATTTAAAAAAAATTCACAAATTAAAGTAGTAAATCTTAAATAATAAAAATAATTGACAAAAAATATTAAAACAAAATGGGACCGAATCACAATACAATTAAAGTTTGAAATTGAAAAAAATATATTGAAAATTTGAGGATCAAAGTGTTAAAAAAATGCCATGAATAGTGAAAGTAATAATGATTTATGAATGTGTGAATAGTGATTTATGAGTGTGTGAATAATATTTCAAATAGTGAATGAATAGTGAAACCAATGGTTTTATTTTAGTTTTATGTATAATTTGGAGAAGATCTAAAACAAAAGTGAAATGGATTGAGCCAAACCATGTTGCTACTACCAAACCGTGTATTATGTTTGATGGAAGTAACTCTCTTGCTTTGAATATTGTTAGCTCTCCTTGTTCTTTTTGTTCTTGCTTATGGTTCTCCATGATTTTACTGGCAATGATAGATTAATGGGGTGGTCTTTTTCTTATTCTTAGCCTTTTTTATACTTGATTTCTCCACTCACCTGTTATCTTCTTGCATTTTTTCTGTTTTTGTTTGTTTTTGGTCAAGAATTAACGACTGATAGTATGTTTTAATCAAAAAAAAGGAAAAGAAGAAGAAGAAGGCTAGTAGTATACAGCCTTCTTTAATTGTTTTAATTCCAAATTGTTTTTTTTTTTTTTTTTTGATCTTTAAGCCTCTATCAATTTATAAAACAAATGTCTAATATTTGAAATTACAAGTATACAGAGTCAGAAAATTAGAAAATTAATAAAACAGGAAACTACTAATCTAGAAATTCATAGTAAAATCGAAATACTAAGGATACATGGCAATAAATTTCTTAAAAATGAAAATTTTAGAAATAGAAATTTTAATGGGTTTTGCCTATTATCCATTCCTCTATCTTTTGAACTTTTTTTAGTGGAAAAATCTTTTTCATATTAATTGAATTCTTGCAAGTTAAAAGAAATCTAATAGGAGGGATGTTGGATAATCATGAGCTTTGCATATGTGTTACATTTTCTTTACGTCAGAATCAAATAAGATGTTGGATGCTGATGCATGAATAATTTATTTATTGTACTAGATGGCTTTCTTTTTGTTTTTTTCCTGGCATATACAAAACATAGTTGGTCATATTTTCCTTGTGTAATGTTCGTGATACGTTGTTAGTAGTATAGAATATGTTATTTCAATGGTCAGTATTTAAGATGGTTGCATCATCACAACCCCATAAAAAAGAAGTTTTTTATTGGAACAAAAATTCCTGCGATAAACCTGAGTCCCAATCAATTAACCCAATGGGTTGCTCAATACAAAGGTAACCCCTCGTTTTCATAAGCTGTGAGAAGGCCCACATAAGCAACCTATACCCTTTTGCCCCATAAAAAAGAGGGTCCAAAAATAGGCTTTTCCCACTTGTCAATGCACGTAGCAGAGCTCGAACAGAAGCCCAAATTTTGAAGCTTCCACGATCCTGATGAATAAGGGCAACTCTTACGTTATGCTTTCCTACGTGTTCAGATAACAAAGAAAGAAGAGTCCCATCTAATGAAAAGTTGGGGGGGGGTTGGAATAGAAAGAAGGGCTCCCCTTTTTTCTTTTTTCTTCATTTTTTTTTCCCTTTTTTTCCTCAAGGACAAGAACACTCAAATTGCAAAGTACAGCCTGGTGAAAAAAGAGGCAAATTGCAACTTACACCCCAATCCAAATGGTCCTGTATTTGGGCCCCAATACTTTGCCGTAGCAGTTAAGCTTATCAGCACTATTTGCTTCTAGGCCCTGAAAAGGTTCATATCGAGCCCTTTCAACTTACACTCAAATGATTTTTTTTATATACTTTTTTATACTTGCAAATGGTTATGATTCAGGTGTTTTTTCTAAAATAATTAAGTTTAGAAAATGGTTGATTACAACCAAAAAAAAAAAAAAAAAATCAGAGTAGTTTCCCCCCCCCCCCTAGTGATAGCTAATATTAGAGTTTTTTTTTTCAAAGAAAAAAACAGAAAACTTGCAATTCTTTTGAATGTGGGCTTTTTTAGTCTGTCTCGTTTATTAAATTATTCATGTTAATTAATTAAAAGGTTTATTTATTTATTTATTTATTTTAGAAGTCACTAAATAAGGTTATTAAAAGGAAAGAAGTCCACGAGCGATGAAAAACTTTAGAAAGTATTGGCAAATCTTCTAGATGTGTCTTTTCGGTCTTCCCTTGTTAATTTAATCATTCATCTATCGAGTTAATTAACTTTTCCTTTGATCATATTCTCATTCATGGTTCTTTTTTCTCCTTCTTATATTTTCCATTTCACTAAAAAAATATTTTGCATCACATGTACCAATTACTTCTCGTTTATCAATGTTTCTGATTTTAATTTATATCTATTATTAACTCCATGGCTTTTGGTATCTCTAATTTTTTTTTTTTTTTTTTGGGATTTAAAACCCTTTCGTTTTTTTATGGCTAAACATAACGGTAATGAAATTAAATTTGACTAATTGGTTTCAAAACACTTGTTACTAATTAATTAATTAATCCAATGCTTTGCCTTTTCTCTTTATTTTTGACGTTAACAAAATATAATTTCACAATTATTTGATGCAATATGAAATGATTCTTACTAACCACAAATAATTCATCATATTAGTTACTATTAATAATGTTTATGTGAATTAGTATTCACAAACGTGTTAGTTATTAATTAATTAATTAATTAATTTAGTGTTAGCAAGACTACAAAAGATGTTATGAGTTGGTCTGGTTTCCAAATACCTGATCTCATGAGCAAAGGCTGCTTTCTGTGGTTATTAAGAAACAAAGTTTGACTTGAGAATTCGATCTTTTTGAAGTTTGAAGCTGCTGACATGGCTTCCATTTCAGACCCATTATCAACGGGACCTTGGTTGGATTCAGACAGTTGTTTTCACATAAATACAGCACTATCACATCATGCATGACCTTGGATTCACTAGTGTTTGACAAAACACACTTCCATCTTTGATTTCTTAAATTCTGATAACAGGTAATAAAATTATTGATTTTTTTAAAGCATATCAATTCAGTATAGAGAATTTATTTTTAAAATTATTTTAAAAAGAGGTTTAATTGCGATGATAAAAAAAAATTGAAAGAAGAAGAAGATATTAACTATAATATCAAATCATGCATGTTGAGTTGATCTATATACAAAACAAGTAAATTATAAATTACTTTTTTTAGTTTTGAAATATGAATTAATTAGTCTTTTTTATTTCAAAAATTAATTATTAAGTATTTTTATTCATTATATATATATTTTTAATTTTTTTAAAAAAATAGAAAGAACTTCGATATTATGAGAAAAGAAGAGATTTTTTTTTTAAATAAAGTAATATTAAAATAATCTTGATCATTAATTATTAAGAGATTAAATGATTAATTTTTAAAATAAAAATGACTAATTCATTCATTTATTGAAACTGAAGGGACTAATTTATAATTGATTAAAAAATGAATCGAAGGAATGAAAACAATTTTTTTTTTTTTTTAATCAAATGGGGCTATCTTAAAAATGAACCCAATTTATTATTTATTATTATTATTATTATTTGAAAAAACAAACCACTAAGCCCAAGTCGAAACCTAAAGTAGACGAGTCCGGTTTTCCTAAATTCCCATTAACATTCAGCAGCCTATAAATAAAGCTATAATTTCAAGACCTTTTCAGATATGAAAAAGGTGCCAACTACTTGAAAGAGAGTGTATTTGTTTTCTGCATCTCTTGTCTGATTAAAGTGTTAAACTCCATTCACTCATTTTGAGGTTTGAAAGAGAAGAAAGACTCTCTTCTACTTTCTGGTAGCACTTCAGCACTTCTTTCTTTTATCAGTCTTGTGTTGCTTTCTTGGTTTATTGTCATTTTTTCACCAATTCTTTGTGTTTCTGTTTCTGTACCTGATTGATCCTCCGAAGCTTTTGTGTCACATTTTTTATTTTCTCTTTTTACTACTTTCTTGCGTGCCAAATTCTAGTGTATAATTTAACATGCATACATATATGATCTCTCCTTGCATGTATGCTTACCTTGCATAAATGATATTTGTGGAGTTTCTACATTCTTGGAGTACACACTTTGTTACGTTTTAATCTTTCTTTTCCTTTTTTTTTTTTTTTTCTCTGTTTCCAAATTTTTCTTTATAAAGTCCTTGTTGTTCTAAAGTTCTAATCAAATTGCCTGTTTCTTCATCAAGAACTGACTGACAGATTGCAGACATTAGTATGTAGCCTCAGGCTATTTATTCTAAGGATCTTGATCGTTGAGTTTAAAAGCAATTTTCACACTCACTCGCCACATGCAATCGTTATTTATATTTTATGAAACTGAGTTTTGGAGGAAATAATTAAGGGGTGTTAATTAATTATGAGAATCATCTTTGTTATTGCTGTAAATTTAGTGTCACTGACTTGTATTCTTGTTCCAGAAGTATTAGAGCTCTTATTGTGTTGTTACAATTTCTCAGTCAGGGTGTGAGGCTGAAACTGAGACCTACTTAAGTTGCTATGGGGCTTTGGCATCTGTTCACTGTTGCATTGATGCCAGTTTTGAAGGTGCTCCTGATTACTGCCGTTGGCGTGGTTCTGGCAATTGAGCGCTTGGATATTATGGGGAAGCATGCGCGAATGCATTTGAATAATGTAAATACCAATATTGTTATTGTTGATATAAATGCAAGTCCGGAGGATCATACACCATGCAATCAAAATCAAAGAACTAGTCTGAAGGATCATTTAGATGTTTGTTTTTCAGCATGACAAATTTTCATAATGAACATTGGATTATTTAGCATAATCTTCCATTCTTTTCTGAGCTACTGTAATAATTCAATTCTTGTGCAGCTTGTGTTTTATGTCTTGAATCCAGCACTTGTTGGCAGCAACTTGGCGAAATTCGTGACATTAAAAAGGATAGTTCAGCTGTGAGTTTCTCTGAACAAAATTTCCTGGCTGTATGCTTTCAATGTGCTATTCTTTTTCCTGCTAGTTTATTAAATTCAACTTTGGTTGAATTATTATGTAGGTGGTTCATGCCAATCAGTATCCTCATCACCTTTACCGCTGGCTCAGCGCTTGGATGGTTACTTATAAAAATTACGAAAGCTCCTAAGAAACTGCGAGGCCTCATCTTGGGATGTTGTGCTGCAGGTGGGTTTTAGTATTTCTGGATAATGGAAGGTTTATCCACAGCTTTTTGAGTGTCCTTTCTGGTTTATATCTTTGAGCAGAATCTTTGTTGATTTACTGATGTCTGCAGGAAATAACAGAGCTGCAGGGCTGAACAATTTAATTCACTAGCATCCGGTATCGTAGTAAATCAGTTTCACTAGCTAGGTTCTTGCGATGTGCCTTTTTACTGATTGTGATTTTAAGTCAAGGTTCTTAAAATTTGTAGTTGCTTTGTAAGGTGTCTCGTCAGATTTTATTTCCATATCAAGGACGCCTCTACTTTGTTAACTAACAGATCATCCTTCCCACTCAAAGAAACAAGTTTTTGCGTTTTCGCTGTTTGAGTCCTTTCCTGGCAATAAATTGTGCAAAAATGAAAGTCCACCAATTTTGGTCCGTCTCCCTCTTTTGTGCTCCTTTCTCTGGTTACTATATGCTGCGATGAATCACTTTGGACATTCTAATATAATTATATATGCCTATCGCACATTAATATCTGCTGTTTCAGCTATTTAGTGCCTTCTTGACAGTAGTATCATGTTCTGTTCCGGCAGCATTACATTTTGATCTTTGGCTCATGATGGGTGGTTGAATGTGAACAGGGAATCTGGGCAACATGCCTCTCATAATCGTTCCAGCTGTCTGTAAAGAAAAAGGCAATCCATTTGGAGATGAAAACATTTGTAATGTGAATGGATTGGCATATGTTACGCTCTCTCTGGCAGTATGACATTGTTCCTTGCTTGAATTCAATTGTTTGTGCGCTCTAAGAAAGGCAGTAAAACAGGTCTAGAATTTGCTTAAACTTTCCGATTTTTCTTTGATATTTCAGATTGCATCCATACTCATGTGGTCATATGTGTACAATGTTGTTCGTATGTATTCAAGTACGGATTCTGATGAAGCCACACAGGATGCCGTACTAGAAGGGATAGAGCCTGCTCCAGAAACACCAGAAAATCTTCCAAGCACTCGAACAGGGTCCCTGCTTCCCTTAAAAGAGCCCTCACACAATGAGGGCATGAAGAACTTTGAGCTCGATCGTGCAGTGTTGTCAGAGGGAAAGCCGAAGGTTGCTTGAAATTTCAATATTATACTTTCATTTCTTTCGGAACTCTGTTGCCCATTTCCATATATTGTTTCAGGTTCATTATGAGAAAATTTTCAATTTTCACATCATACTATCGGTAGATTTCTTTTTCACCTTTTGTTCCCTTGAATAAAATGCTTTTGAGAGCAATCGTCATCCTACTTCATCAAAGTTTCTTCACAGGTGCCATTTCCAGAAAACATTAAGCAAGTCTTTCAAGAGGTTCTAAAGAAACTTAACCTGAAGAGAGTGTTTTCACCTTCAATTAATGGAGCGGTATGTAACGGCAAGCTCTTATTTTGACAAGTTCTTATAATGCATATTGTTTATTTAAGGCAATATATAAGCCCAATTTTTTTCACTCTTCAGTTTCTTGGTCACGTAAAAATATCTGACATTGTATAGACTAAACAGGCCACTTTATGTTTCAGTGTTGATGCGAGGATTGACCCCCCTTACTGCTTTACTTTTATAGATTGTTGGATTTATAATCGGTACTATCCCTCCATTCCGGAAAGTGCTAATTGGTGATAATGCTCCTCTTCATGTGATTGAAGACTCTGCATTCTTGCTTGGGTCAGTCAGCATCCCTCTTTGATGATTCCTGATAAACCAAAAATCTCACTTTCATTTTCGGCTACCTAACATGATCCCGTAAATTCCTTCCTGTTGTGTGTTTGCAGGGAGTCAGCTGTTACAATTGCCACTTTGATTGTGGGGGCAAATCTTCTGAAGGGTAATTGCGATCATTTTCATTTTTGTCATGCTTAATTGAATTTTTCGAAGCATAGATACAATGATGACCAGAACGTGTTCTCAGGTTTCAACGGGTCGAAGCTGCCGATCTTAGTGATTATCGGTATATCAGCAGTCCGGTATATTTTTTTGCCGATATTGGGAGTACTTGTCATTAAATATGCAGTCCATTTTGGCTTGCTGGACGCAGACCCACTGTACAAGTTTGTTCTGCTGCTTCAATTTGCACTGCCTCCAGCAATCAACATAGGTCTGTCAACTATTATTGGTTTGAAGATGCATGCACTGGAAACAAGTTGAATTTGTTTGTAACTTGAAATTAATATTTCCTTTGTCTTTTGGCCTGGATTTGGCAGGTACAATGACCCAGTTGTTTGGAGCTGGCGAAACCGAATGTTCGGTGATCATGCTGTGGACCTATTCCTTGGCCACAGTTGCGGTAACGCTTTGGTCTGCATTCTTCATGTGGTTCGTCAGATAACCCTCACTTCAACATACACATTCTGGGAAATGCATTATTGCATTATGTGAACAGATATTTCTTTAGTTTTGGCCACTACAAAGAAATTACGAAATGTACAAGCAAAAGGGTACTCTGTTAAACACTTGAAATACTACATGCTATTCTCTCTGCTCACTTGGATATATTCTAGCAAATACTATATACTCGAATAGTAGGAATTTTTGAACAACTTGTTGTAAAATAATTCCCTAAGTCCTCGAATTACTCAATTCACTAGCCACAGGAAAGGGTTGACCAGAGTGTTACTGAAACTGGTGCCAAAGAATATGCCCACAACATTACAACAGAAGATTAACTCTGTCCAACTCCAAACAACTGAGTAATAGTACCTGCTAAGTTAAGAACACATCAAACACAGACATAATAGAGAATTTTGGCGATACAAACAGAACAAAGGTTTAACAACAACAATGCTATCATCATAGAGTATGTGCAAAATACTAGCCATTGAAGTGGCTGTACCAGGACACCACCAGGCACCACTAACAAGTAACAACAATACTTATGCTTCATGCTTGCAAGATTTCAAAGGACACCATTATCATTTTTTCAACCCTCTCAAAAAAGTTTAACAACAAATACAATCTATCTGTCAAAATCGTATGTTCATTAATAACACCGTATGTGAAAAACTAGTTTCTGATTCATATTTCTTAGCCTTTACCGTCGATAACGGTGTATTCCTGCTCTACCTTGTCAGATTCTTAGATCCCCACAAAAAAATTCAGATATAGCTTTACAACATATACTTCACCCAAGTATCCATAACTCAAAGGAGGTAATACCTTTATTAATTCAAAAAGCATATCACCATAAAAATAGCTCATAGATTTGTTATAATCATCACACTTCCTAACAGAGAGGATGAACAATTTATTTATTTATTTGCCTTTTTATCTCTACCATACCCATTTGCTCTTTCTATAATGTTAATTTGCATTAGTTGATATACATGCCTTAATTTATCCAAACATATTTTCATAAAAAAATATCAATTATTAGTTTTATCAATATTTTATTATCATAGTGGAAAACGTGTCAGAAAAATAAACAAAAATAAGTAAGATCAACATGTGATAATTATTTCTTTTTAAAATGCACTTATAATGTTAATACCCACTGATTACATATTTTATTTTTTTCTATAATTACCAACGAACTAACTAACTATGCATAATAGATGGAATGCCTAGGCAAATTTATTGCCCATTGCCCAAGACAAAAATCTAGGCTAGTCAACATACAAGCCAGCAGGTCTCACTAAAGCTAGTCCACCAATGACCATCTAGCCAAAGTCCAAACACAACGTATGACAAAAAACTTTCAAAGGAATTTTCAAATTACAAGTGCAAATACATTTAAGGCTTAACAGTTGGGACAAGGAATGCATACAAAAATATGGTAAATGACAGTACCATGAGAAAAGTCATGTATATAAAGACATCAGCTGTGTTTTATTAATAATTAAATGATTTTTACAGTTTAATTTTATAAATATTATTGAATCATTCATATACTAAGTTTTAAAAATTCAAGTGAATTAATCATAAATGACTTTTTTTACAATTTATTTTGGTAAATGGATAACTTCTTTAACTTCCCAACAAATGATTAGCACATACAATTGTTTCTTCGTCATCATAATTGTTAATTATGGTCCAATTTAAAGTGATATACGTTATTATAAATACCTAAATAGTTAATAATCTTTTGTCTCTTGGCTTGTTGAAAGAAAGATTGTGTGATGAAGATATTTTGGAATGTTTCCTCTTATAATTTCTTTATCTATTCGTATCTTATATATATATATATATATATATATATATATGGATCAAGCTCCATCATCACGATCTCTGATCACGAGTCCATGACTATCCTCGTGGTCAACATGGGACCCTCTTGCTATTTTTTTTTATTTTTTATTTTTTGTTAACCCAAGGTGCCCATGTCTATTTGCACGCACCTCGACTAATTCCCGAGCTCATTGAACACCTTGTAAGTCTAGTAGTGAGTAGGTAAGGCACCGCGGAGGTGATAGGCATGCGTAAAGAGATTCGAACCCGGGTGTTATCAGTAAGCGACCTTCAATCTCATTATTGGGTTGCGATCTCAAGCGCCTCTCTTGCTATTTTTTTTTAAAATTCAGGTGTGATGGAAAACTTCAAAAAAGAACTTTAAACTAAAAATTGAAATTAAATTAAAATATCAATTTCGATTTGGTTTCTAACTCAAATTTATCATTGAAAAAAGAAAAAGAAAGAACATAATTTGTTTTGCTTTTAAGTATTCGGTTCGGTTTTAATCTAAAACCGAACAACCCATGCCTGATTTATTAGTTTATTAGGCCAAGGATTTCAGCCAATATACAAAGCCATCCAAAAATTAAAAAGGCCGACCCATATCCTTTATCAGGCCCATGGGCCAAATAATTTAAAAACAAGGACACCTAAGCTTCATTTATAACCATCCCATCCTCACAGGATGTAGGTTCGTAGGACACAAACACAACTAGGCTTCGTTTATAACTTCAGGCTAATTCTCTCAATTTTGTTTCTGTCAATGCGGGGATAATTGAAGAAATGAAAAATTAAGCTTGTTTTATAACTTTAGTCTCATCCTCTCACTTTACAATTTTCGTTACCTGGTTCCAGATACACCTCCAATTCCTCTCCACAGTATTCTTCCATTGCCATCTCCCCTTTTCTTACATATCTCACCTTACGTAAATAAATTTCACTCACGTAATAGTTGTTGCTCCATACCTATATTTTGATTTAAAGCAAAGTTGAAATGTTAGACACTATTAATTAAAGTACTACATATATATAATATGTTAAATGAAAAACTTTACCTTCAAATCTAACTTTTTAAGAATCTTTTTTTAAAAAAAAAATTCAAATTTACATAATCTCTTACAATTCTATTTCTTTTTTAACAAAAAAACAAGACTTTTTGCTTAATTAACTTTTTTTTTTCGTTGATGGAAAAATGATAACCAATCACCTCCTTCAAGATTTATCAATTAAGAAATTAAAGATGACTTGAAACATTTTTAAAAGATATTTGAATGCTTTGTGATAAAAAGTTTCATCGTCTTTATTTTATTAAATTGTAGTTTTTTACACCAAAAGTTTTACAACATACAATTAATTAAGTTTTATAATTGTATTCTAGTTTTATTTTGATTTATTATTTGATATTTATATATGGGTGTGTGCGTGTGAAAAGCTAACGAGTGCCCTTAGGGCACCCCTTAAGCATTGTCCAAATGCAATTATAAAACTCCAATTTTTTTTTATCGGATTTAATTACAAAATAATATATATATATATATATTAAAGACATTAAATAAATGCTATTTTATATGATAATATTGTTAAGTGTTCTTCATAAAATTTATTATAAATAAAGAAAATAAATATTGAATATTAGGAAATCAATAAACTTTATTTTATAAGATTTTATATTTATAATATATTTATTGATGTTGGTAGTTTATAGAAGAAAATAGATTTGGTTCAATTTGAAATACTAAAGGAAGTAGCAGAGTTAGTTAAATATTAAGAGAAAATCCCTAATAAAATCTTAACTATTTAATTTAATTTAAATGGTAAATTTGAGGAGAGATGGATAAAAAGATAATACCTTAACGAGACTCATGTCATTTGTCGATAAACGGGAGGAGTCATTAGAGTCGATCTTCAAGCACTTGCCCTCCATCTCCATTGAATTTGTGCACCCAGCTACACACAAAAAGGGTACAGATTTTGACTGAATTGGCAGTCTAACCCTCTGCATTGATGTGCAACCATTAGCAAACCGTGCCACTAAACGTGCGGGAAGCTTTGACATTAATAAAAGAGCTATGCAATTCCTAACCCTCAAAACCTGGAGCCGAGGAAGGCAATCAATGCCAGAAGGTAGATTGAGGAATTTGTTTCCTGATAAATCCAATATTTCCAGGGAGGACAAACTCCCAAAATCAACAGAAATAGTTGCACCTTCAGAAAAACCACAGTAACCGAGATTTAGTTCTCTCAATAAATTCCAACGAACCAAAGAAGTTGGCAGCAAAGCGTTCCCATTTGAACCTCTTGGTAAATGACACGATGAAATTAGTGAAGGCCATGCTGTAGATAATAGTGAGTCCTGATTGAAACTGTATCCACGCAACTCCTCAAGGTTTGAGCACCCTGAAGCGATCAAAGTTTCAAGAGATTTTACATCACAAATGCTTTTTGAAAGAATCTTGAGCCTGTAGCATCCCTTCAAATTCAAGTACACGAGCATCTTCAAATGTCCAATAGATTGTGGTACCTCAACTAAACTCGTGCAATATTTAAGTATTAGTCTCTCCAAATTGGAGAGTCCTTCAAAGTTTGGCAATTTAGCAAGGTTCTTGCAATAGCTAAGATTGAGGATTTTCAGCTTGTTGAGGATCTGCCCAAGCATTAAATAAGCAAAAGTGCTCAAACAAAGCTAGTGAAACGTAACATGTAAAATTTGATTTTTGAAACTGCATCTTACATACCTTGGTGTTCTTCCAGAGTTCTTTGATGTTGCTGTACTGCATATCAAGACTAACAAGATTGCTTAGTTCAAAATTGGATGGTAAGGATTGTAAAGGGCATCCATGCCAACACAACCATATCACCCCTTTGGGAAGTGCTTTGAAAGATCCAATGAGATGTACCCCATCAATCTTGAGTAATTGTAACCTTTTCATCTCCGTAAATGACTTTGTGCTCAATGGTTCTACTTCTGATTTTCTCACATCTAGTGCCAATGCGAGACCCTCTACAGCTTCGGTTCCCTAAAAAACATCAAAATTCAATAGAACTCCCCTATGATTGGTTGGAATTAGATTTATACAGAGGTATTTGTTTAAGAAGAACAAATAGTAAAAGAAAAAAAGAAAAAAAGAAAAAGAAAAAAGAGGGTGATACCACTGATTGTGATTTTGTGTAGAACATTGTGAATAAGCATTTAGTTCTTACCATCTCCTTGATGAGTACATTCCACGCATCGTCATGATGCCAGATTCGATTGCATTTTCCAGGATGTTTAGGAGACATTTCACGGATAACCTCTCTTCCCATGTCTCGTAACAAATCATGCATGTTTATCTCACCCGAACCATTAATTGTTATTAAAGATCTTTCGATGAGAGTTCCCAAATCATGTTCTGGCTTGAAACCACCACGAGCTTCTAGTACTGCTGCTACATTCTCTTTCTCTCTACCAATAAAAAAACATGCAATATCAAGGAATGCATTTTGCAGTTTATCGTCATCTAGTAAGTCAAAACTTATTCTAAGCTTCTCTTGAATATCATGTTTTGGAATTTTTCTCAATTTATCAATGGCATACTCCCATCTAATTTTGTCTTTCTTGTACAAACAAGATCCCAAAACTTCAAGAGCCAAAGGAAGTCCTCCAGAGTAATCAACTATTTTGTTCGAGAGCTCCACATAATCTTTGGGCGGACAGGTGTCCCTGAAGGCATGCCAATTGAAAAGCTGAATGGACTCATCTTGATTCAATAATTCAGCTTGATATTTTACTACTACCTTAAATCGATTCAGCAGATGTTCATTTTTAGTCGTAATGATTATTATACTTCCAACACCAAACAAGCTTCCCTCTCCTACCAATGCATCTATCTGTTTCTGTTGCTCCACATCATCAAGTACAACAAGAATTCTTTTGTGGTAGAGTCGTTCTTTGATAAATCTGATACCTTCGTCTTCATTATTGATCTTCCAACTGTCTCGTTTCAAAATTTCACAAAGAAGCTCTTCTTGTAATTGAACCACGCCATTGGATTGTTGTGATTTTTCTGCAATATTCTTAAGAAAACAACTTCCCTCGAATCCATTGCAGAGTTGATTAAATACAATCTTTGCTGTAGTTGTCTTACCAATTCCTGGCATCCCATGTATACCAACAATTCGGACAAAATTTGTTTCAGTTCTTAGCCAAGAAAGCATATTATCAACACGAGAATCAACGCCTACTAGGTGCGTGGTAACATGGAAGTATTTGCGATTCAACTTAATTGACACATCTTCGACAATATTTTGGATAAATATTGATTCATGCCTGTTCATAGATATATAAACGCAACTCATCAATGACAACATAATGAAGTATGTTCAGACGTGTTTGCTACTATTTAAAATTGTAAGACAAAGCTTATAGATAATCTTTAGTAACTATTCATAAAAATTGATTGAGGTCTGCATGTGTATCTTATAATGAAAAGACATACCTATTTGCCATATCCTTGAGAGCATACCCGAACAGATTTGAAGCCTCGTTTAGAGCTCCTCTCCACTTGTTGACCTTCTTCATTTTTACCTTACATATTTCTTCATACGCCTTAAAGGCTTCTAAAAAACTTCGTTTCTGTTTGCGTATATCGGATGGTTCAATATCATAAAACACAGGGACAACAATCTGGCCAATGGTATTTTTGCACTCCATAATCTTTGCTAGTTCATCAAGACACTTTGTTGATGAAGCATAACCTTTGGAGAAGACCACTATAGAAATCCTTGATTCTTCAATTGCCTTGAGTTGTTGGGAGATTTCTTCTCCTCTAGTAAGTTCATTAACATCGCGAAATGTAGGGATTCCTGCTTGAACTAATGCATAACAAAGATGGTCTGTAAAATTCTTGCAAGTATCTTCTCTTCGAAAACTCAAAAAGACACCATTACTGTATCCAACTCCAGTGGAAGAATTAGAAGATGATTTGGACTTGATGAACGTGGCCATGTTGTTGGCGGCGTGAAGGTTGTAGGTTATATTGTCTTAGGGAAGGGACATATCTGCTTTCGCGTAGTAAACTAGCAAGGCCTGTATAAGGCATTACAAAAAACGAGACATAAAAATGTTATGAATACTTAATTAAAAAAAAACAAAATCATACTCCAAGAGATATCGATAGATAGCTGGAAAAAATGAAAGGAAAAATAGCAATTGATATGTGGATACTCCACAAGAGAAATTAGTCATAAAACAAAAATAGCAGAGCAACTGATTAGCAAAAGCTTTCAAGTTTGGAATTACAATCCAGTGGTAAATGAATGAGGAAGGAAAAATATTGGCTTGTTTTGAAACAATTATGTGATTTAACGTACTTTCTGGTAGATCAAATGAAGTATGAAGGAAAATAAGACATAAAGTCGATTGTTGTTTCTTTCTTGTTCTTCAGTTTCTCGACAACCAAGCAGATCCAACTTTAGGGAAACTAAATCAAATTAGCATAACATAATTAAACTTGAAACAAAATCAAAATGGGAATATATTGTATTCACTGTTCCATCAAACACTACCGTTTCTTTATCAAGCATTAAATGTTTATCAATATGTTTTGGGTTAATGGTTGCAGAGATCCTTTAATTCTTTCTTTTGTTTTTATCGTTTTTCTCTATTTTTATCGTCTTTAAGTTCATCGTTTTGTCTTTGTTTTCTGTCTTAATCTTGTCTCTCCATTAACATTGTTAGTTAAAAAATTAATAGATCTACTGCTTCAAGACAGACCACTCCAATCTCACTCCTCAAGAGGCGAACAACCACACCACATGCTGGAAAGGAATGAGAGGACCACCCATATCCCGATCTAGCCACCACAGACCCGCCGTAAGAAACCCACACAACCCCAGCAAATCATGGCAAGAAATATGGGTTTTGCTTATATATGGATCCTTTATTCTTCAAATTGTTTTGAATGAGATCCTGTACTATGTTTTATGGTCGATTGCAATGAGGACAGTGCTTTAGACATTGTGTATTTCCGATATAAGATTTTCAGATTTTCTTTATACAGTTACAGTAGAATCTACATGAAAAAATATTAATTTTTAAACAAGAAGCAACAAATTGGCAGAAAGTCAATGAACTCGTAAAAGATAAAAGAAAGAAACTAAGTGCGATGGGAAAATTCAACTACAATCTTGTAGTAAAAGAGATGGAAGGAACTTAAATGAATAATGTAAACATAAAAGCTTTGACAAGTGTTCTTTAATCCAAGTTAATAGTGAGGAAATGAAACTAAAACAAGAAAGAAGCAAATATCGTCGATTATGAGTTACTGGTAAGAACATAACAGCATAAAACCCCACCTGACAATCTTCTTAGTGTTAATATTGTTGTCATCCACAATTACTATTGCTTTAAAGATGTAAACAGCAAAGACTATAAACAATCAGTGCTAGTAACAATGAGAAAGGTTACCTCTATAATATGGTGATTATGAGTTTGTCGGATCCCACCAGTTTAGTGACTTCAGTTATCAAATTGCTGCAATCGAAAAGGTTAGCTGAAGAGTGAAGTACTGAGGACCGAAGATAAAGGAGGCAAATAGTGTTTCAGAGAAAGACTATGTTTTCTTGTAAATAACTAGCAAGGCAATAAATATTATATCAGATGCATCATGTAAAGGAAAAGGAGAAAGAAACTTTCTCTTAGCCGCGTCAGGGTCAATTAGCTGGAAATTTGAATGGTAATTTCATGGTGGTTGCTGATTGATAATACTTTTTTCTTTAGCATCTAGCAGTTGACTCAAGGACTAAAGCTGTAAGAACACAGGATATTCAAGGGGCATGGTGTCTCTTGATAAAAGAAAGAATAAGGAAATTATTGTTCTGATCTTTTTCTTTTTTACCCCACACAAACATACACACACTGATCCACTTCAATTAAAATAAATATATAAATATTTTTTAGTAATTGATATATTGGTAAATTATAGTTACATATAGTTTATGAATTCTCCCACCATCCCATGTCTTTTTCCTTTGTTTTTCTTGTTACGAGACATCCACTCTTCTTATTTAATTTTTTAGCGAAGTTTCCTTCGATTTCCTTTATTAGGTTAGATATCATATTCTTCCCAAATTATTATTATTATTTACCCCACTTTCTTCCAAACATATACATATATTTTTTCACAACAGGCTCCACACGATATTTGTTGGATCCACCAAATTCATCTATGAAGGCTATTGCCCATTGACAAGCATGCACAATAAATTAATGTCTTCGATAAAAAGCAGCAAATTATGCAAGTACAGTAACAGGGGAAGTATTAATGCTAGGCAGTCGGAACTCGGAAGTTAAGCTCTCAATGGACTGAACATTTCCTGGCCAAGCTACTGAATTCTAAAACATTTGTGGGTGACTAAGGATGTCTATTAGCTAGTTGATAATCACTCACCACTACCACATATACAAGAAATAGAAGTAATGCTAAATATATATATATATAAAGAGAGAGAGATAAAAATAAAGATCAAACATGAACATTAACCATTGGATTTGTTGAACCCATCATGTTTACAAAATTTAATAAACTTCAAAAATTAAACATTAACCATTGGATTTGTTGAACCCATCATCTTTACGAAAATAATTTTGTTTCAAATCTGCTACTTAATCTTTTCTATTTTTTTATGTTTTTTTTTTTTTTAATGTTTAGCATTTTTGTAATATTCATGAATTTTTATTATGAAGCCAAATTATCTTGTCAAGTATATTTGATGATTCGATGTCTAAATTTATAACCTTGCTTCCCTCTCTTGATGCGAGTAGAGGGAACGAAAAAGAAAGCTTATGGCACAAAATAGGCACTATGGCATGAGATGCCAAAGTGGACAGAAAATGGAGGCTTCATGACAAGCAATATACAAATTAAGTGAGTTATGTGTTATCTTTCACTATATTTAATGAAGTTAAACAACATCCGGTTCTGTAGTCGTAGAATTGTTTCAAGAATCATCATGTTTCCGTCATATAGTCTGCCATCCATGAATTTTCGTATCTGCTTTTATGAGCAAATGGTGTATAATAGCAATAAATTTATTTTTCTATTATCAAACTACCATGCTCTTGTTAGGTCATGATAGCTATAAAAGAGCAAACAATATCAAAGATGAAATTTATATAAGGTTTTCATAGTTTATCCTTCTTGAGAATGCAGTTGGACCCAGTGACTAGATCATCAACATAAGTCGATTTATAGAATCTTATCCAACTCATGACCACAGCTACTTGTTATCGCATTGAAACTCATTGGTCTTTGTTTATACAATACTTGCACATCAATCCTAGGTAAAATCTGTATAACATTTATGGGAGTAGGTGAACCATGATTAAAAAAAGTAATAATCTCTTTGTCATGATTTAGTAGTAATTTAATACTACTCTCTTTGTCTTACTCAAGAAAAGACAAACCCTAATTCCCCTTTCTTGAGTTTAGGATGATATAGAATAAACTAGTTTTTTTATCCGCATTATGTTGTGAATTGGATAGAACACATAAAATTATTTTTAAAAAATTATTTTAATTTGATATTTTTGTGTTATATTATAAATATATCAAAATATATCAAATCAAAATTGAATAAAAATTCATTCAATTTTATAATTTTTAATCAAAAATTTGTATTTGACTAATTATTCTTTATATTTTTCATAAATTTTTTATTAAAAAACATTATTCATTTATTTCTATCCACAAACTAAAAAATTTATAATAATATAAAAATATCAAAATCAATGGATTCTTAGTTAAAAACTTATTTTGTAAATTTTTTTAAAACTTTTTTTGCCTTAAAATTTTTCAATTAAAAAAAATCGGAGGAAAAAAAAGACTAAAGTGATCAAACTAAAACCAAAAAGAGGGACCAAAATCAAACAAAAATACTTATGGACTAAAAAAATAATATTTTTAAAAAAAGAACCAAAGTGTAATATCACGAAAATTTTCATAATAAATGTCTTAAAAATATTTGAAAACTACAAAAAATATCACTATATTATGAAAGGAACAAGTGCATCCGAGACTAGATGTAATACCCCGAACAATTACTAAATAAATTAAAAATATATTAAAGATGTGAGAAAATTATTTTATGGGCATGGAATAATGGTAGAAAGGATGTTAGAGAGACCAAAATCAAACAAAAAATATTTACGGATAAAAAATAATATTTAAAAAAAGAGACCAAAGTGTAATGTCACAAAAATTTCATAATAAATGTATAAAAAAATATTTAAAAACTATAAAAATATCACCGCATTATGAAAGGAACATTGCATCCGAGACTCAGTGTAATACCCCGAACCGTTGCTAAATAAATTAAAAATATATTAAAGGTGTGAGAAAATTATTTCAAGGGCATGGAATAATGGTAGAAAGGATGTTAGAATATTGGGTGAGCTTAAGATAATTTTTCCGATGTTGAGTGAATATTTTATCTGATTTTTTGGTGCATGAATAGTAACTTTTCATGTGAAATAATTATTTTAAACATGTTAAATGTGCATGAAAAATGTTTTTTTTTGCATAATATATTTTTTAGAGGAGTTTTGGATTATTTGGTGTTATTGGATGAATTATTTAATAGTTAGTGATTATTTTATTTGAACTTTACAAGTGCATGAATAATGCTTTTTAGGTGAATTAATTAATTTAAGTGCTTTAAAGGTGCATGAAAATTATTAAATGGATATATAAAAATCATTTAGGATGTGTATGAATATTCTATGAACTTAGATGAATTTTTCTAGGTATAAGGAATATTTTCTATAGAAATAAATGCATTTTTACACAAAATAATTAATTAGAAGGCCTAAACAAGTGTATAAAAATTATGTGAATGATGAATAAATTATTATATGGGGTTTTTGAATTTATTATGGAAAGAAATTAATTTTTGAAAAGGTGTGGAATAAAGTTTATAGAATTAGGGACCTAATTGCATAAAATTAAG